CAGCTGCAGCCTGGGGAAGGGTGATGGCACTAGATAGACTCGCTCCGCAGCTCCTCTCTTTCTCCCGAGCTTTGTCTGCTCTGAGGTTCCAAATGCAGATACTCTGAAAGGTCATCGTGATTCAACTTTGTCGCATGTTTGTATATGTCTAACAAGCTATGTTTGTGATAGCCGTTGATAACGTAATGGCAAATATACAAGCACCTTGATGGAACAGTGCTCTTGGTGACTGTTGGGAGGCTGTAATATCCTGCCCCAGAATGTGTGGCAAGGTGTTGCAGACAGTTTTCCTTGACTGGTAATTCATGTGAGCTTGTGAAATAAATTGTCTGAAGGGTGATGCATGGTGCCAGCCTGAATCCCAGTCGTGCCGCCTTGTTCTCTTACGGAATGGGAGCTGTATCCGATGGTGCTGGTTTATCACCTATGGGATGTGCTATGGCCTCCAGAGTGTGTATGTGTGTGGGGAGGGGTAAAAGAAGGAGAGCCCTCCTGTGGAAGGAGGGCGAAGATGACACTGCTCAGTACAACCGCCTTGAGCAGGGAGGGCCTCAGATGCTCAACTTGAGGGCCAAGTGCAGTTTGTACAGATTGCAGATTCTTGGAGCGCTCTATTCAGGTAAAGCATTTAAATGTGCCCTGAATGAGTATGACTGATTAAATTTCCTTAAATTTCCTTACTGTGTGCTGACGGTTTGTATGGGATCTAATCCCCCCGCTCTGCCTGTTCTCTCACAAGCAATTGTGTTAAAGCAACAAGTTTTACTCTGGCGCTTTGTCATCCACAGATACTCATCTCTTGCTTTGCAGGTCTATGACTACAAAGTGTGTGTGTAAATATAACATTAAAAAGTTATAACCTTATTACCCACTGCTGATCTCTTCTCTTCTGCAGAGAAGTTCAAGTTAGCTAGTAAAGCTCCCATGCCGTGTGTGTGGTCTTACAGCATGCTGGCTTGGAGATTGAAAGCTTCTTGTCTCAACTGCCTTACCAAATGTTACTGAACATGACAAAAGATGATTTGTGTGGATGTCTGTTCTATCTGTGGTCTTTCTAACCTCTGCTTGGCTCTTCCTAACTGAGAGTGATGATTGCAGTGTGCCTGAGTGCTCAGTTCCTAAAAAGAACATCTGTCTGTTTGAGTGCGTTTGATGCTTGATTCAAGCACTGCCTAAATGACCTACCAGGCTCTCCGTGGTTGTCAGCTGCCTTGTATGACACTGGTGAGATAAGGGCAAGGGAAGGAGCTGTGGGCCTGGGGGGCAGGATGTGCCGGAAAAAGGCATCTTGTTAAAATGCCTGGAAAAGAGTGTCACTGAACGACTGGACGGCAAGAGCTTACATCTTAAATAGGCGATGAAAGGAGGCACAAAAGCCATCTATGTTTTGCTGCAAATAGAAATATGTTCATTGCAAACATGAGTTAGTAGCAAAAAGTCATTCAAGTGGCTTGCCATGGTTACACAGAAAAACAAGTTGATTTGGGTATTAAAGCCAAATCTGAACAGATGGCTACTTTTCTCAGAAGATAGCCTGAAGCAGGGGATGATGTTATTCAATTATTCCCTTCTCCACAGCTCGCACTAAAATCTGTGAAACCTAGACTT